TAACAACTGTGACAAAAAAAACTTTGTAAAATGGGGCAAAACTCCATTGGGAAATTTGGGACTTGACCGTGGTTGTAATTTGAGGATTACCTATATTCCATCATGAAACCAATTTTGTTTACCTTGCAACTACTGCTTGCCTTGTGGTACCTATTTTTTTCCCCCAGCGCGTTGTACAGCCCTTTTCTTCTCCCAGTACACACTAAAGCTTTCTCTCCAATCAAATGGTATTTGTACTAATCTGAACAGGATGGTCCCACTTTGCAACATAGGGTGATTTTTAAAATGTTGGGAGATTTAAGTGCCTTAAATAAGAAAAGGTCACTCGTTCATCCCAGCCAAAGCTCAGAAGAATTCTTTTGAACTGGAAAGAGAGTTCTCAGAATTAGATTGGAAGGTTTCTTGCTTCATTTGTTTCGAACAGAACGGATTATACTTTTACCTATCAAAAAGAAAATATGAATCAGAACTGTAAACTTTCTGCTGCTCCATAAACAATAGGGAAATTAATGAAGACGTGAACCAGAAGCATCTAATTTTGTATTGTTGAAAAATTGCAGGCACGGGGATACAGATTGAAAAGTACTCTGAACTAGGGCGCACAGATAACCAATGAATAGGCAGTCCTCGGGCTACGACAGCAATTGGGACTGGGGTTACCATCGCTAAGTGATGTAGTGTAAAGTGTGCTGTCATGTGACCGCATTGCTCAGCAACGGCAACCCCGGCAGTCCTAGTTGCCATTGTAATCCCAGGATGTACAGGTCATTAAGCAGGAAGATGGGAGAGACAAGGTTGCTGTGAGGGAGGAGTGTGAGGGGGTGAAGAGGAGGTTTGGAGTGGGCAAACACAGGACTGAAGAGGCTACTGCAGTGTTTCCCAAACTTGACAATTTTAAGGCATGTGGACTTCAACTCCCAGAATTCCACAGCCAGCATTGCTGGCTGTGGAATTCTGGGAGTTGAAGTCCACATGCCTTAAAATTGTCAAGTTTGGGAAACACTGGGCTACTGTGAACTGAGGAAAGGCCCAGGAAGGCTGAAGGGGTGCTGCTGGCTGGAGAGAAAAAAGTGGGGAATGACTTGTGACCTTCCTTGGTGGCTTCCCCATTGATTTTCCTTGTTGGAAGCCAGCAGGAAAGATCCCAGATAGTTCCCCACAATGTTATAATACTGAGCCAGGCTCTCAAGCACCCAGTCTGTGATCACATAACTGCAGGGGTGCTGCAATGGCCAAAACTTGGCTGGACTGGTCATTCGTTCCATATTTTCAGCATCACTGTGTAGAACAGATGGGCATAAACTGAGGATTATCTGTAATCCTAACATGTAGTCCTTGCCACTCTTAGCAGCTGAAATGCAAAAAATTAACACCATCTCTGGTTACTTCCTGAGAAAAAAGAAATACAGGTAGTCGTTGACCTACGACTACAATTGACCCCAAACTTTATGTTGCTAAGTGAGACAGTTACGGGAGTTTTGCCCCATTTTACAACCTTTCCTGTCACAATTGTTGAGTGAATCATGCCGTTGTTAAGTTAGTAACATGGTTGTTAAGTGAATCCAGCTTCCCCATTGTCTTTGCTTGTCAGAAGGTCGCAAAATTTGAGGATGTGACTTTGGGACAGTACTACCCTCATAAATAAAGTCAGCTGCCAAGCACCTGAATTCTGATCATGTGAACCTGGGGGTGCTGCAAAGGTTGTAAATGTAAAAAACGGTCGTAAGTCACTTTTTTCACTGCCATTGTAACTTTGAACCTCACTAAATGAACTGTTGTAAGTCGAGGACTATATGTATTGTCAGAAAAAGTATCTTCAATCTGTAAACCAATTCCCAGAATTCCCCAGCTAGCCATCTTGTGGAGTTGAAGTCCACAAGTCTTAAACTTGCCAATCTGATCCCTATGCATATAATTTTTTTTTTTAACTTTCCTGCTGTAAATCAATCAGTTCCAAGCTGGAACTGAAACTGGAGGAAAAAGATACTCTGAAAAGTGCATGTGAAGATGCTATAAAATGCCACTTAGGAAATGTAATTTCAAGATGTTTCCTTAAAAGTGCACTGACAAACAGACTCTTCCAGATATAATTCAACTGTGGTTAAGAACATCTTGAAAAGGCCCCACCTTTGCTTGACACTGTTTTTCTCAGGGGAGTGAGAGACCTTCTGCCATTCGTTTTTGACTAAGGAAGAAAATGCATCCTGGATAAAAAAGCTAACTTTTGCCAATGGACATTGTCTGTAAATTTGCATTCTGAACCTGATGGATCCTGTATGGAAAAAGCCCTCCAATGCTTAACAGAAGGGGGGGGGGGAGTTCAACCTACATCTCAGTAAATTAGAAAAGTGAAAGAACCCCAGTAAATACTCAATCGGGCTAGGAAATCAAAAGGGTAACTGCATCCTCATTTTTAAGCCACCTCTTTTATTTAGCAGGTATCTAAGAGATGGTCACACAGAGATGGGAAAAGCAATATGGGAAACGGTTTTTAACCTACATACTACTTACAATCTACATTTTCCTAAACAGGAATCATTGCCTTGCAGAAAATTGCATAATTCCTCCCATACGATCAAGAAATGCATAGTGCAATGGACACCTAAGTTTCAACATGAATGGCCTGCTCTGTCAAGCAAGTTGCCAAGCACTTCAAGAACCTGTTTGGCCAGGCTTGCTTCAGGGATCAAATATAAATATTTTGAGTTACGTGAATCTGGCGCCCTGCAAAGGAGAAGCATGCTCAAGTGTTGCCAACATAAATTTCATACATGCTGTCTCTTGAGCTACCCTGCTTGTTACTCGTCAATAGCACTGCCTTCCTTGAATCTCTTAAGCCTTCGGTTCATTTCAACAGAGCTAAAACAAGAAGTAGGAGGACATTCACTGAAATGCTTTGTCAAGCTAGAATCTGTTAGATGTAATCAGAGAGCAAGTATTATTTTGCAGGTTTTTAATCTCCCTTTACTAAGGTGAGCTATGGCAAATCAGTTAAGCGCCCTTTTAAACGATTAACAAAAAAGAATTAAAGACTAGCAAATAAAGAAGTTTTGAAGTATCTCAAATGAGGGGAAATTAACTGCCAAGGACGATTAGAGAGAAGAGATAGATGGACTGCCTTTAAGAGGATATTCCAGAGGACTGTGCAGCCAATCTGAAAAAAGATCCTATCCCTGGCATTCAGCAATCTAACTATTGTCACAACCCAGCTAAAGAATAGAGCTTACAATGCTTATTTTAAGGCAAAGGCAAATAAATATATGGAGGTGTATCGCTTCTACTGAAAACTTGGTTCAAAATCATTTAGGGCTTTAAACTAGTATGTTAAATTGGAATAGCTGCAGCACTGTCATTTGTTTTCTGAATGAGTACACAATACCCAAAGGGTGACCTAAGGCAGCTTTAGAAAAGACTAAACAAATTTGTCAACAATAGTTATTAGTCTTGTGAAGCTGAACAGAATGTCCTTGTGAAGAGCAGTACAACTCTGATTATCAGGTAACTGGACAAACAGAAGATACTTCTGCCTTACTTTCCCCAACTGGAGGGGGGAAAAAGCTGAATTTGATAAGAGTCTTAGTCTGATTCAAAAGTGCCTGCTTATGCTTTCTTAGCAGAAAAATGTTAGGTTTTCTATCTTGGGAAATGTATGTATCTTGTAGTTTCTAGGCATTATGTATATACAGACACATTTCAAAACATGTCAACAAAGTATGGAAAAAAGAAATACCAGTATCTGTACATATACATAAAGTTTTGCATATTCCTTCACCAAACCATGTTCTTCTATAGCAGTGTTTTTTAAATTTGACAACTCTTAAGATGTGTGGACTTCAACTCCCAGAATTCTCCAGCCTCCCACATCTTCAACTTTGAAAAACACTGCTCTAGAGCCAGGGATTCCAAACGTGGCAACTTTAAGACTTGTGGACTTCCATTCCCAGAATTCCCCAGCCAGCACAAGTCTTAAAGTTGACAAGTTTGAAGACCCCTGCTCTAGAGGAAGCAGATTAATCTTCTTTTTATCCAATAACTGTGCAATGGAGACTTCAGTAGGCTTTGCCTACTGCACAATGCTAACAAACATGTGCCAAAAAATTTCACTTGTAAAAGTATCTTCAATTCTAAAATCACTGTTAAAAAAAAATCAAATTTTGAATTTGATTTCTGTTATATACTATAAAATGGAGAATCTTGCAATACTTTCATTTCTGCTGTATACTGCCTGTAAAAACTGTATTTCTGAAGCTTACCTTTCATGAGAGGACCAAGACATACTGTAGTATTAATACAGACCACACAAGTGGTTAGCAGTTTATGAGATTCCTTATTTACTTTTACCCAAAGCTACCATTAGCTATAACAAGACAAACCAATAAGGATCTCTGTTGCAACAAACCAGGCATCCCATCCACAGGCAAATATTTTATGCAGCAGCAAGAAAGTTATAGCTACTTTTTGCACTAAAAATTAAGCTTGAAATGAATGAATTCCTTCATTATGATACATTTGTTTTCTTCTACCTATCAAACTTCAACGATATTAGGAAGAATGTTGTTAGATAAAACTGATCAGGGCAACTAATATTCCACCGTGGCGTGTTGTTTCAAGTATTTCTGAGTCTTTGGCAAAGATTCTTATGTTCAGCAGTATTCAACATCATTCTGTTTAAGAAGCTCAAGCTGGACCAGAATTTTGGGACAGAAATAAAGGCAAATCTACACAGAAACGGCCTTCAATGTTTCCATTTGTAAGAGGAGAAGGCCTTGGTTCAGGAAGTGTGTGTGCATACAAGTCGTTTAAGTCCCATCTTCCAATAAGCTGATTCAAAAAGAGGACATACTAAAGGAATTGGTCGTGCACTGGAAGGAACGGCTGTCAGATAATCATACATGCTAAAAAGAGACACACTGGATTAAAGCCCTGGAAGGGAACAGGACATGCTGTAAACAATCTTCCAAACATACACATTGATCATCTTTTGCACGCTGTCATCTCACCTGTGCATGTTTCCATTGGTGGTGAACGATTGATCACATACTGAGCATTTATAAGGCCTCTCCCCAGAATGCACTAGCATGTGGCGATCGAGGGAGCTTGCAGAGCTCAGAGACTTTCCACAGATGCTGCAGGAATGGTCTGTTCCTCCAGTGTCAGTGTTATGCTAAAGGAAGCAACAGATTTTTCTTTTGAGTTCTTCCTGTTCAGGGTCAAGGACATCCTAGTCAATTGCAACCATCATCACTCTAAGGAAGTTCAATGCAACAGAACTCAAGTTAGCATAATGTAATCATTCCAGTTATGACTCAGCCTAAAAACAGAATACATTGCAGGAAGCAGGGAGAGGGAAAAAGGCAAAAATTGGGGAAATATATATACTTTTTTAAAAAAAACATCTTAAACTGATCACCACATAAAGCACTGATAACAGCTTTTCCTCCTCTCTGGAATGTTGCGTAAAGACAACTCATTTTTGTACCAAGCCATGAAACATTCAGAAAAGTTACTGAGATGATGACCAAAAGGAAATAGAATGAGCTGTGCCACATGCTTATATGGGATGCATCTAACAGCCTTGAAAAATGAGGTCCATCAGCCAATTCAAATTCTGTGGGTTCATTCACATTAAAGTATAATTGGTCTTAAATGCACTGTTGAGACCACGTTTCCCTGGCATGGCCATCACAAACTGTAGATGGTTCCTACTCATCCCACACAAATCGCCAAGGAAAGAGGCCACTATTTTATCACACAGTTTACAGCAGATCCATATAAAAACACTAATTCACATGGGGGGGGGAATTCTGTACATACGTGTGTATGCACATGCATACATTTGTCCCAGTTGGGTCAGCAGACTCCCAAAAGGTCATTTTCTACAGCTGTCTAAAGAAGAAGCTTAAAATACAGAACAGATTCCCATCTAGACTTCTTTAAACACTCCCAGGCAATACTATGTCTTCTATGAGATCTATTTTGCTATGCAACAATAGGAACTCCTGAAACAATTGTTTTTAATCCTATTACGATAAATGAACGTTCATTCATCTTCTTTGTTACGGAGTTATGGGAAGATTATTAACCTGTTACCATGTCCCATCCCAATTTTTCTTTTCTTTCTTCTAACTCATTTTTGCTTCTGGCCCATATAGTTAGTTAGCTAAATCATTTGATCTGTAGACCTAAATCACTTCTTGACCAGTGTATCTTAATTTCCCTCCCCCCCCCCCAAAAAAATGTATGCAAAAAAATATGTACACTTATGCACAGATGGCAAAGCATAGTATTGTCTGTTTTAAAGCTGGGGAAATGCTGAGTATTTTGGAGTGATCAAGGAGACATTATTTACAAAATTTGGATTCCTCTACCAGTAGCTGCCCAAGTTTCAGTATGCCGTAACAGGGAGGCAAAAAAGCAAACATATAACTTGGTTGTGACTTCCTGCGAGAGCTTTGGTGATACAGGTAGTCCTTGACTTACGATCACAATTGAGCCCAAAATTTCTGTTGTTAAATGAGACATTTGTTAAGTGAGTTTTGCCCCATTTTATGACCTTTCTTGCCACAGCTGTTAAGATGAATCACTCAGTTGATAAGTTAGTAACCCAATTGTTAAATAAATCCGGCTTCCCTATTGACCTTGCTTCCCAGAAGGTCGCAAAAGGGGATCACATGACCCTGGGACGCTGCAACCATCATTAATATGAACCAGTTGCCCAAATGTCTGAATTTTGATCACATGACCTTGGGGCGTTGCAAAGGTCATAATTGTGAAAAACAGTCACTTTTTTTCTGTGCCGTTGAAAGTTTGAATAATCACTAAATGATCTGTTGTAAGCCGAGGACTACCTGTATAGCAACCAATGCCCAAGGAATTAGGGTGTTTCGAAATAAAGCAAAAGGCTATGGTTGCTGTGACACAGCATCCCCCTAAATCTTGGGAAGATTTGAAATAGAGCCAAGCACACATATTTCTGAATACCAAACAAGTAAATTTCAGCCCAACCTTAGTTGAAACTACAGCAGTTTTCTGAAATTTCTGGTCTGACATCAATAGAGAAAGGAGGCGGGGGGGGGGGAGAATGAAGCAGTAGCAACAGAGGGACAAAGATATGAAGCATAGTTATCTTTAAAATAAAAATGGTTCACAGCTGGAAGAGGGAGAGGCTTCGGGATACACATTGACAGCCAACATAATTTTGGGCTTTGCAGGGAGAAACTAATATATGTAACTATAAATTTACTGGCAGATCTCCAGATTTAAAATATTATGTTGTAAAATTACCAACTTACCTGACGAATATGCATAGTCAGCTGGTGTTGGGTAGTGCAAATCTTTTCACACAGAGGGCAGGTATAGGAAGACTTGTCATCTTTTGTTTCCTATTTAAAAAAAAAACAAATATACATTTTAATGTTAATGAAAAGCCAAGCAATCACTCGTTGTACACATTTACAAAGAAAACATTACAGTGACATAACGATTATACTCCCTCATATTCACACAGAGTGAATTCTTGCAGTGTTAACATGGGGAAGCTATTATAAAAAAGGCATTTTTTTAATATAAAAAAATAACAATTTGGAATCTGAGACAAAATCAAAGAAAAAGGATGATTCTTTCAACCCAGAGTGTGGAAAGAGCCCCACCATAATATCTGAAACTATGGAAGTGACTTGACCAACCAGATTATTAAAAAGCTATGACGGAGGAACACAAGACTTGCACAACACTTTTATTCCTCAGCATGGATCCCCAAAAATCATTATAATTAGCTGTCCTATAAGAAAACCTTCTGGAAATTGTTCTGTCTTATCTCTTCAATAGTAACCAGGAACAATCTACACAGGTTTTCAACTGGATTCTTCTCTTCTTCCCCAAAGAGTCTTTGCTAACTATTATCCTGATCATACAAATGTACAGTTCCTTTATGGTAAAATAATATTTATTTTATTTTTTTAAATCTTGCTTGTAAGTCATTTTAGAGCAGTGGTTCTCAACCTTTTTAATGCCGCGACCCCCAACCGGTCGTAAGTCGAGGACTACTCAACTGGTGCAGCACTGTTTGCAGAATGGGACTTTTGGCAGGCTCAGCAGGCAGAGACAGCCTGGACAATTCCTATTGGCTTTTGAAAGCCAATAAATTAGACTCTATTCAAGAGAGTCTATTCTATTGGCTTCCAAAAGCCAATAGAATAAAAGGGAGTAGCACAGCTAAGGAAAAGGAGAAAAAAATGGCGGACTGCGTTGTTTGGTGACCCCCGTGAAATGGTCATTCGACCCCAAATGGGGTCCCGACCCACCGGTTGAGAACCACTGTTTTAGAGGATCTTTACCTTAAAAGTGACTATAAATAAAGGCAATAGCAATAAAAAGGCCTAGAGTTTCAAATATTAAAGTATTAATAGTCTTAGCCTTCATGCGGCTGTCTAAATCAGGGTCACCAACACAGAGACTGGGAAAGCAATTGTGCCTACCAACATCTCCCTTAATGATTGCCAGGCTCCTTGCCTCACCTGATGCTTCATATTTTAAATATATCTGTTTTAAATTAAACAAGTGAAATATGACATATTGCAAAGCAAACCTGTATCCCAGTTACTTGCAGGAATGTCCTTGGGCCCAGAAACTTTCTCCAAAAATAAAAATGATGGAGAGCTGCAGTTCTCTGGCTTTGCTTGGAAACTTGCCTAGCTTCCCAGAAAATGAAACATCCATAATGGAGGCAGGGGCAGGAAGATGAGGTCAGAGGAAGCGAAAGGGAGATTATAACCCTCGTGCTACCCACTCCCTGAATGAACTAGCTCCTTGCTATCTTTCTGTGAGAGCACCCACAACATATACCCAAAATGCCAGATTCACACCCAGCTAGAAGGGGAAAAAATGGAAACTTTTTTTAAACTTACACTGGAAATTTTCACAGCATTTTGATATTACAAAATTTACAATGAAAACCACCTACTGCAGGAAAGGAACATTTCCTTCTATCTATCCCAAATCACCCATCCTTACATTTATTTGAAGACTCTGGATTCCAGTCTCAGGAAGTATTTCCAAATCAAATATAATATCCTATCTCAGGACTTATTTAGGTAGATTCTATCCCTTCTCTAGATTTCCTAGAATCCATTTAAAGTACTATGATATCCCCCAGTTTCCCCATCGGCAATACAGAAATCACCCCAAACTGAAAATCAGAGACAAAAAGAATTGCTGTATATATTGTAAACCTTAAGAACAGAGCAAGTTATATATAAGGATATGGGATTCAGAAACACTAAAAGAAAGATACAGTAATATGTCATAAGGGGGGGGGGGAGAAATTAGCAAGCTTGTAACTAATCCATTTTTTAGTTTTCCCAATTACAATTTGACCACGATGCTTGCATTAAACATGAGACACTTCTTTTAAAAAATGGGGGGGGGAAGACCCATAGGCTAAATGTCTATGGAGATTCTCAATCATCCAGCTAATGGTTCAAAGAAGCTTCTTCAGTGAGAAGCAAAATGTTTTCAAATAAATTTTAAAAAAAAAGAAAAAAGAAAGTGCAGTTTGCTTTTTGCAAAAAGCACTTTGGGAATCAGAGGCTGTTCAGTTAGAATTAGCAAATATACGTTTGCATCATTTCTGCATAACAAAGATCTATAGCAGACTCATCAACCCAAGGAGAATTAGCCAACTACTTCATTTTACTTTCTGCTACAGAAATACTGTTATTTATTGCTGCATGTCCCCCCCCCGCCCCCCAAGACAATCCAGAATCAGAGTTGAAAAATAAAAAGAAACCTTCAACTAGTCCTGCTGTTTTGGGGGGAAGAAGCAAAGAAAAAAGCTAAGGAACAGAATGATTCCTGATTAGTTATAGGTACGATGGGCGCTGCTCAAGAAACCAAAACAATTTGTGTCTACGCAGAACATCCTGATTCATTCATTGGTGTTTTTCAAAATGCCTTTAGGATATTGAATCAGACACCGACATTTCTGTGAAAGGACAGACTGGAAACAAGTTAATCATTTTCTCTTGCCCAACTGCTTGAAAGAGTCAATATAATTATCCACTATTCTATCATACACAGCACATCCAGTTTTACATTAACTTTTCCAAGTTCTGTCCGCACTTAAAAGAAAAAAAGTCTAAGCTGTCTCCTGCGTTCTAAAATGAGCTGTCCAATCCTTCCTAATATATTATGAAAAAAAAAATACTGTAGTCATTTTAGTAGAATGTAATGCTAAATAATTTAAATCTGCTCCATATTTATGTGTGCATGCAAATTTTCACCAGTTTTAAATCCCTCCAAATACTTGGGGCATTTTTATTAATTATTCTCCCACTGCCTCTAAAACTCACCAATCAAGTCCTTTCCAACGACCTGATACTGTTAAAGGTATTGTTGCAGGATGTAAGTTGTTCCAAGTAAAGCTGCCCTTTGCAATTGACTGACAGTAATTTTGTCAGTGTTGTAGGTGTTCAAGGGATGCTCCAGATGTTTTGCAATTTGACTGTACTAAAGGTTTTATACGAGGGCAATTCGGAAACAAATCTCCATTTGGTTATCAATGACAGACACTTGCAGACACAGAACTTTTATTATACACATTAGAAAACTACAACGTTACATTACTTTTCGACATTATCGCCATTCAAATTGAGGAACTTCTCATAATGTCTTACAAGGTTGGAAATTCCTTAGTAATAGTTACTTGGCACCAAATTTGGGCTATTGGGGGGGGGTAATCAAAAACATCCTAACAGAACTGCTTCAAAACTTCTAGTGGTATGCAGGCGAGCATTATGTTGAACCAATATCACACCGGAAGTGGTGCCATAGAAAATCCCGCCAAATGTGAAGATGCCAAAGGAGTACTACTAGTGAAATTCATGGAGCATGGTTCAGAAGTCTACTGTGAAATGTTACGAAAACTCAGAAGAGCCATCCATAACAAGCATGGGGGCATGCTGACTTCCAGTGTGGTGTTGGTTCAAGATAATGCTTGCCTGCACACTGCTAGATGCACCCAAGAACTTTTGAAGCAGTTCTGTTCAGATGTTTTTGATCACCCAGCCCCCAATAGTCCAGATTTGGCACCGAGCGACTTCTACTAAGGAATTTCAAACCTTGTAAGACGTTATGACAAGTGCCTCAATTTGAATGGCAATTATGTCGAAAAGTAATGTAATGTTGTAGTTTTCTAATGTGTATAATAAAAGTTCTGTATTCGCGAATATCTGTCACTGGATGTTTATTTCCAAATTGCCCTCGTAGATGTTTTAAATGTTTAGCTGTTCCTGAATTGTTCTTTTCGTCAGTTATTACAGCAAACCCCTCAAAACTAAGACAGCAAACTATTCAGCTCAGAAAAGTTCCCAGAAAAAGTGAACATACTTTTAAAGTACTTTGCTAGAATATTTTATACTGGATTTTGGAAATTCCATCAGCAAAATATCAAGCAGGTGCTTCAGGTAGATTTATTTAAAAATGGCTTACTTGTAGTATCATTTCACTGTTAAACCCTTTTCTTATACTCAGGAGCATACAACCTTTTTCTATAAATTTAGGTAAGGTTTTTCCTATCTGCAGATTTTTCTTTAGTAATACATTTATACTATTAGCCGTTGCAATTTATATAGTGGTGTGCTCCACAAATTAATAAAACGGTTATTGAAATTCTTCTTTTTGCCTTTCTCTTAAAAAATAAGTAAGTGTGGCATGGTGGATAAGCACCTCATATTTTCTTTATGCATGGCTAAAGTAACACAAACTTTATGTGTTCATATGTTCCTATTAAAACACTTGGTAACACATCCTATACCTATTATTAAAGTTCTTTTAAAGGACCTTCAAATTCTAGCTGGCTCATAGAATTACCTTCAGGTGCAAATCTTTCTTCCACCATGCTAAATATTGTCTCAGCAAAACAAACATATCAGGAGGAAATATGTTTGTGCAGGCTTTCCTGTGAAATCAGGCTATAGCTCCCTTGCTGAAAGAAGCCTTTCTATCCCTCTGTGCAATGCCATTAATTGTTTGGAAGCCTTGTTTTCTAACATATCCCCCTTTCAAACAAACAAATCAGTCAGAACTGATAAGGGCAAACTTCAGATTTAGCCCAAGTCCGTGCAACTACCAGGCCTGAGCTTCCTTTACTTTATAGCCCCCAGTCTCAGCTGCTTGACATAAACCAAACAGGCTCAATACTCTGAAACAAACTAGCTAAAAGGAAGAATCTGTTTGGACTCAGTTTACAACATAATAGTTTTAATACAACTTTCTGTGTACGTGTGTATTTGGGTTTTTTTTTTTTTAAAGTTTTGCTGAAGAATTTGGACTGCGGCAATACAGTTTGACTATGGTGGAGTATTACTGATGATGGGGGAAAAAAGCTTCTCTCAAACAAAGTAGCAAAAAAGACAGCCACTTTGATAAAAAGTTTGATATGTCTTTATATGACCTCTGATACAGGTGGAAAAAGCACCCCTGGGAATTCTTGATCTCTCATATCGTGAAATCAATTATAAAGAGAGGAATAAGCAATTTATGATTTTAAAGGATATACTCTTGAATTAGATTAAGATCCTTCAACATGACATAGATCCCTCTAACTCAGTGGTTCTCAACCTGTGGGTCGGGACCCCATTTGGGGTCGAATGACCATTTCACGGGGGTCGCCAAACAACGCAGTCCGCTATTTTTTCCCCCTTTTCCTTAGCTGTGCTACTCCCTTTTATTCTATTGGCTTTCAAAAGCCAATAGGAATTGTCCAGGCTGTCTCTGCCCTGCTGAGCCCGCCAAAAGTCCCGTTCTGCAAATGGTGCTGCACCAGTTGAGTAGTCCTCGACTTACGACCGGTTGAGTAGGCCTCGACTTACGACCGGTTGGGGGTCGCGGCATTAAAAAGGTTGAGAACCACTGCTCTAACTAATAGGTGTCCCTGTGGATTGCTGAGTAGAGGGGGCAGTGCTCATCTCTGTTTCAAGGCCATTAAGCCAGCACTATCCAAAAACATTTCTGCAGTCGTAGGGCCAGCATGACATCATGGAGCACAGTTACCTTCTCACCAAAGTGGTACCTATTTATCTACTTGCATTTGCATGCTTTCGAATTGCTAGGTTAGCAGGAACTGGGGCACAAACAAGGGCTCACCTCATCCTGTGGCGCTTGGGGTATCGAACCTGGGCTGCTGGCTTTCTAGCTGATGAGCCCAGCCTGTCTTAACCGCTGGGCCACCATGCTGCCCTCTCTTACTGATAAAGGAATGAAAATTGCAATTCCCAGTTACAAAGTGATTTAAAAGCATTTTAACAGGCGAGTTCAACCTTGTAACTTCGAATCAAATGTTTCCTCCGTAAGATTTAACAAAAAAGCACATTAACCCATGAAATAACCTAGCATCGTGCAAACTGTATTCAAAATAATTCATCTGGTCCAGGATTTTATCTCCAGTGGCAACCAAAATATTGTAAGTAGGTCATGAAGCAACAGCTTTCCAAATGTAGTTCCTGTATATTGCCAATGATTGTGGAGATTTCATTTCTCTCCCTTGGAGGACTGCCTCATCCTGTAAGTGAGCAATATGGATCAAGAGCCCAAGACTGGAATCGAACAGTTTCTCCACCACCAACTTTTCTCCTTGTGTCAGACATTCAGAATGCTATTTTTAAACTTCAACACAATCTTTAAAATGTTGCGCTCTCTCTTTCAACGCAACAGGAATTGCCATCAGAGAGACCACATCTGCCTATCTACAGCAGCTTTGGGGTATAAGGATCACTAGCAAATAAAATAATGGCTGAGGCTCATCTGCTTATACCATTCTAGGTACTCCATTCCAAACAGCAAACTTACTTAAATGTCAACTTCTATTTTGATTGATAGGAAAATCACCCATAGCCTCTCTCCATTATTTATTTGTTTATTTATTACAGTGCAAGTATTTATGTTAATCCTGTCGCATTTACTGTCTTGATCCAATGCCCAGTGAAAGGGCTGGTGTGATTAAAGAGCCAGTAGCTCTAAGTAAAGCTCACACAAACAAGCCAACCAGTTTATCCACCTTCTTCCTGCTTTTCCAACGAAGTGCTACACAAAGGACCAAAGGGAAGGAAATATAGTCTAGCCCAGTGGCTGTATCACACATATCTCAAACCTTGACAGACTAGGTAAAATTTAGGGTATAACGTTCAGGAAAACATTGCTTCTTCTGCAAAAGCCCTTCCTTATATTACTAGTTTCTCCGTGCAACTACAGTTTCTGTTAATGTCCTGCACAAAGAAATGTGGTCCAAGCAGGGTGCCATCACTTCCAGCCTTGCCTAGTATCTTAAGTCATCTTGTACATTCTCTGACTGGAGGAAAACATAAATTACTTTGAAGCAGAGATGTCCTTGCAAGAAGTTCCTGTAGTTACAGCTGCCAAGGGTAGTTTCTGCTTTCTGTGGCAGCTCCATACTTGTAGAGAAGTTTGGATTACAGAAAGGAGAACCATCCACATCAACAGTGAAAAGGAACTCTAGAAGAATGGCCAAGTGAGTCTATGCTAGGGTTGCATCTTCCCTATTGAAATTATTGTCATCCATCCAAGTCCTAAACATGCGCTGTGTCAGGCGCAAACAACAGGAATGGAACCATACATTAAGCTCCAATTAAGAAGATTTAATGCTCAAGCTTATACACAAAAATCTAGTGAACTAAGGTCAGCACTAAATTGGCCCTAGAGTTAAAGATAAGAGAATGGAATTCAAAGGGGGACTCGATTAGGATAGCTTGTGGCAACATAACAACTCCAGGCTGATTCCTCTCTTGACTCTTTCCCCAGACTCTGCCTCTTCTTTTCCTACATCTGTGAGATTTGTGCTAACTAAGGCAACCAAAGAAGCCACTAATAGCTTCGACATTTTAACACTACTTTGAAGTTCACTGCAGAATAGTTAGTAGCCTGATGCTGCAGGGTCTAAAACATCTTGTGATCCAAAGTTAGTTACGCTCCAGCTTTAGGAAACTGGCAAGACATATATGCCTTGCCTTGCCAAGTCACACTGATTTCTCAATAAATTTTTGTTATGCTTCAAAACTCCCTAACAATTGCAGCATTTTTTTCTAAGCAGGGCAACTTACTCCTAAATTGTTTCTTGTTCTCATAGAAGAAGGTACTGAGACATCTGAACCACTTACAAAAAAATGGAGATAAGAAAGGATGGTTCTTTTTCTGTACGTTGCTTATTACCAAGCCTGGCTAGTTAGAAACCTCGATTCCGGAGGTCCTTTATCAGCCACTTAACAACTAAACACATCATTCAAAGTTTCATCTTCCAAGATCCCTTCTAATCTTATGATTATATATTTTACAACAAAAAGTAGCCTAATAAAAGTTCAAACCGATAAAAGAAACCCTGCAAACATTATTTTTTTCTGATAATAACACACCAGAAAGGCAAGAAGAGGGTCAAGTCACTTGCCTATAACAGATCTGGGAAGCAAAACCACACAGCTTCCCCTTCCAGCCCTGGAAGGCCAACAATAGAGGAAGCAGCAAGGAAAATGGAGCAAGAAGACACCACAGGAGGAATGAGAGCATGTATAAAGAGCATGTGTGACTTGACTGCAATTCTCCAAGCTAGTAAAGCAATCATTTGCAACCAATCATGATTAGTGGAGTTCATTTACTTCCAATTTGCTCAAAAGCCATTTATTCACAAATGCTTAGGCTTATGAGCTGCTCCATAATAAATGAGAAAGCATATACAGACTGGTTTTTGAATATACAGTATATATATTTCTCATTAGTTAGGAGTACTGATACAATTTAGCTGGCCAGGAGGAGGCAGAATGGGGAGATAATAATTCATGTGAAATTGTGTTCTACTGAAAAACAAAAATAAATTGTTATTCCTTACCTGGTTTCTTCTGCCAATCCGAGTAGGAGTAAGAGATTTTGATGGGGACTTGACATTTTGAGATGCCATACTGCCATTTTCAGCTATCTTTCCTAAGCTCATAACTGCTGCCATTGCTGTGTCAAGAGAGGGCAAATCCACACCTTCAAAACAGTTGAGAATCTTGGTGCTGCTGTACAACTGCTTAAGATTTGGAGTATGTTCTCTGAAATTATAAACAGACATACATGTAAAGCTGTAGTATCTTACCAAACCATATAATTCCAAACTATGATCATCTATACATACTGCATGACACATCCTTTAAGAATGAAGAGACAGAACTAAGGAGGAGAAAGGGAAGGCAATTATTTTACTGATTATAGATTTTATTATTATTCACAACATTAAATTGTAAATTGTTTTATCCCATCTTTCCCCCAGGTTTCAGTATAATCAATTGTTAGTTAGATGGAGTTTAGATCAAAAGGTTGGTATTACTTTAGAGGATGTGAATTTGATAAAACAGATTAAAGATCAAACTCGAGCCCACATAAAGAGAATTTATAATGTTTTAATAGAATTGGATTCTGAAACAGAGTTAGTTAAAGATTGTATGGTAAAATGGGCACAAAATATTCAAGAGCCGATTCTATTGGACACATGGGAGACAATTTAGGTTAGAAATGTAAAATTTACTCAAGCTCAAAATTTGAGAGAAAATTTTTATAAAATGTTTTATAGGTGGCATTTGGATCTCCAAAAGTTGTCTTGTATGTATCCTAACTTGCAGCCCAAATGTTGGAGATGTGGTTGTTTGGACGCAACTTACTTTCATATTTGGTGGACTTGTAGACATATAAAAGCTTTTTGGATTAAAATTTGGTGGAACATTCAAAATATTTTTAAAAGAAAGAAAGTTTACTCCTCAACTATTTTTGTTGGGTATTATTGTAGATTTTGATGTTAAGGAAATTAATTTGATGTTGAATTTAATAACAGCAGCAAGGCTGTTGGTAGAGCAATATTGGAAGAAAGATTCCTTGCCGACTATAGAAGAATGGACCCTTAAGGTCTCAAATTTAGCAGAAATGGCAAAAATCTCGGCTTATTTGAAGGATCATTCACAAGAGAGATATATTTCGGTTTGGAGAAGATGGATAGACTATATTCAGAATAAATATGGGACTAAAAAGTTCCATTTATTTTATGAATAAATTTTAGAATATTATTATTATTATTATTCATAGTTTATTATAGTGAAATTTTTAATTATATCGTATTGTTTATGAATTAGTTTTAATTTGTTTATATGATTAAGGTTATTTGCAAATTGTTATTCTGTATTAAAGGGGAGTTAAAGCGCATTATATTTGTTTATCTATATAGTTGGTTAATGTTAGTTAGATTATGATTATTATATCTGTTACCCTGTATTCAACTCTGGGAAGTGGGGGAGGGGAGGGGGGGTAAGGTGGGTGGGTTTGGGGGTATATTTTGTAATTTTTGTAAAACTTTTTAATTTAAAAAAAAAAGACTGATTCAGCCTTCCATGGTTTTGAGGTTGGTAAAATGAACACCCGGATTGTTGGGGGCAATATGCTGACTCTGTAAACTGCTTAGAGAGGGCTGTAAAGCATTGTCAAGTAGTATATAAGTCTAAGTGCTATTGCTATTGCAACATGACCACATCTGATTTTACCTTTTTTCCCCATGGTTCTTAAGAGAATCATGTGGTCACTGAGCAAATCACAGAATCATTAAGAAAATTCAGCTTCCCCCATAGATTTTACTTGTTGAAAGCCAGCTGGGAAGGTTGCAAATAGTGATCACATGACCCCACTATACTGCAACCACCATAAATTCATACTAGTTTCCATGTACCCTAACTGCAATCATGTGACACTGAGGTCATAAGCACAAGAACTAGTTGTGTTACTTTCTTTAGCACTGTTTTAACTTTGAACGGTTACTCACATAATAGAAGAAAAAATTGGCTTTAGGTTCAAGGCATATAAACAGCATTAACATAATACAACTTATGGTGAACATGGATTACCATGTCAGTCTATCTCAGTAAAGTCACATAGATGGCAAAACTGGATTAGGTACTGTATTCATCCCAGGTTGCACTCCTGTTTCTTCAAAGTGAATAAAAACACATTCACATTGAGTTCCTAGACCTGAAAATATTTATCCATAATACATCTACAAGATAAAATGAATTGGCCTTCACCTAGACAAAACAGAAACCCTAGAGTCAAACAAAAGTCCTACCATATGATTCTGTACAAATAACATAATGTAAATAAACATATTCACCATGTACCCCAATTCCCAAGTGCCAATATGATCAGACACTATGACTGAAGGTATTAAAAACTAGCCAGAGAACTTCCCTGCTGTTGATAACCAAGGGATAATAATCCATGATGAAAATCACATGAAAATGACTCAATCTGCTTCTTCAGTACTAATAGTACTGTATATATATATACTCAGTATACTGAAAATAATCTGCTTCTTCATTTCTAAAGTCCATCTTCTCAAGGATCTTTGGACCAAGTATTGCTATAAATCTCAAAGTCTTGGAATGGGTTTTAGATTAAAGCAAATCTATGATTATTTATAGGTTCACACATCACACTAAGTCACAACATGACTTAGTTTGGCTTTGGCTTATAAAAATCCATGAGCCCAGAATTGTGTTTTGTAAATAATGGTTTATTACCTTCCTGTAAAAGATGATTTGCGTCCTAATTTTGTGACCAAGCTAAAATCCTTATGTATTGTTCATCCATAATCATTGCTCTAAGTAACTGTGTTGTGTTCTATGATTAATTCTTTACTTTTTATTTCTTTTGTAACCTTTACTATTGCTAAGTTTAATTTTATTAGCATAAAGATTACGTCTGACACAAATACATACTTCCCCCCCCAAGCTTTCTATACCATTTGAAGGCAGATTTCAGCATGTATATATTGTACAGTAATATTTTAGTTATGTTATTTTACTATATTTTAATATTTTTATATTGTTAAAATGCCTTCACCTTCATTGTTGTTAATAAAGGCAGGTTATAATATTTTATTGCCACAATGATAATGAAAGAAGAATAAAAGACAAAAAATCTCCAAATTGGTTCCTTTATTATTTAACATTTTGATACTAGATAATTTGAAAATAAAGACTTCATAAAATTTCTCTATTTTTAAGAGGGCAGAGTGCATTTAATGGAAGAATCCAAAACATATTCAAACCTCTTGAAAGAGAAAACGTTAATAATCCAGGGAGTATAATTATTCTGCATTATTAAAGCAGCAGCTATTAAAATATCATATCAAGTCTGATCAGGCCATCATTATCTCATTTATTTTCAGCATATCACAATTCAGACAAATTCAGATATTCAACTGTATCTACGTCTCAAAACTGTTTGATGATGTCGATTTTTCCAGGTAGGTTCTTTCAGACCACGGAACTTTAGTTTAAAAAAAAAATCCCACAACTCCTGATTAAGGGGCAAAGCCTTGGTGATTAAAAAATGGGTGTGTTGGAGGAATGGGAGGGAAGTCTTAGTGTCTTCATGGAATCCCATCAAAGTCTCACAATACTGTAGGATTTTGCATAATTCTGCTTAAAGAATAAGGTAAAGGAAGACTCCAGAAGATGGTAGAGGACAGGAAGACCTGGAGGAACGTTGTCCATGGGGTCACGATGGGTCGGACACGACTTCGCAATTAACAACAACAAAAAGGAAGACTCAGATGGAAAACCAGAAGAGAAGAACTCAGTAGAAAAAGGTCTCAGAACATTTTTTTTTAAATAAAATGTTAGCACAAATAACTGCAGTGGATGGGAAAGGGTTTACCTCAAGGACAGAAGGAAAGACAGACAGACCTGCTGCCTAGTATACTCAGAAGGGATCAAGCACTATAGGTCAGGAGCCCATCATGCCTGATGAATCCTCTCAATTTCAATGCTAACAAGAAAAAAGGAAGGCAAATTTACAATTTGCAATTACTATCATGTTACATGTGCAATCCTATATTGTAGCTGGCATAAAAGTACACATAAAAAAAAGGACAGAAGCATTGTAAATTGGACAGTGAATACTTACAGCAACTGCTTTACATATTTCCATAAGTACAAATATAGCTTTTTGTAAAAATAGTAATATAGTTTAGTTTGCTTTTGAGAAAATGCAGCAATTTTTGCACATCTTTTGAAGATGCTGGGCTGTCTCACAGAAATTTTAAGCTCAGCCGCTTCTAAAGTCTCCACACCTCGAATGGCATCTTCTGCCAGTTAGAATGTCAACAGAAGACTAACAATGCAGCAGAAACTTAATTTTTTATGGTCACATTCTCATGAAATGTTTCCCTGAGGAAAATGATCTTTGCCCTCAAGGAGCGAGTTCCCAGGACATTGATGTAGTTTTAATGAAAGCTACACACAAACTGGCCAGTTGCACTGTCAAAAAACGGACCTGTTTAGATGAAGGGTAAAAAAGGAAGCATTATCACAGGTTAAAGTTCACAGGAATGCCCCTTCGCTTCCATTTGGATCCAGGCCCACCAAGAAAAATAGCAAGCAATAGCTGCAAGACTCAAAGCATTAACACATATAAATAGACTACTAGAAGCTACCAACAGCAAACAAATCAGTCGGCTTTTGACAAAGGCCAGTTCAGAGGCAGAGTAGTCAGCCCCAATACCATGAAAAAAAGGCCCTCAGAGATGAGACATGATTTAAATAACAACCATACGGGGGGGGGGGGGGAAATAAAATTAAACCAAGGCTTGCTGTTTCTCATTCAGTCTCAACAGGAAGAAACTTTATAAATTTGTTTCCTCTGTTAGGATTTTAAAAAACTGAGGAAAGAGGTAATTACCTAAGTGAACACCAGACTTTTATACTAACCACTCTTTAATCCTATATATATGTCCTCATAAGTAAGTCACTTTTAGAGTTCAGTGTGATTTACTCCCAAATGCATATTCACAGAACTACATTAATATAAATTAAACTTTTCCACCCTGTGCCCATTTCCAAAGACCATGGCCCACTTTCTTTCTTTCCCTCCAAGATGTTTCAATATCTCGATAATCTCTTATGTGGGAGATATTTTATGTTTTGATTTATTTCTAAAGAGCAAATTCATATTCCCCTTTTTTAAAATAAAAAAACGTTGACCAGATTTGATTAATGTATTTATGTATTTG